GATTCAAGTCATGGATTCAACGGGGTACAACTGATAAATACCTTCTTCAGAGGCATCGCTTTGGTTTAACAGATGGCTCTAGACACAACTATTGAAGGGAAATTCAACCCCATGAACCCGTAATAGGCTGTGAGATTGAGAACTTGACATCTAGAAATAGCACTAAGAACACTTATTAGAGAGGAAGAAATCGGTTGCTAGCTTGGGAAAGGAGCAGATGGATGAAGTCAAGGCCAAGCTGGATAGTGTTCATAAGCTTCTTAGGAGGCATGTGAGCTTTGCAGAAGATGTAGAGGTTGTTGATACCTCCAGTGATAAGGGCAATGAAGAGGATGTGAACTACATTAGTGATATGCCATGGATTTTATCCCTTTTTATCCAAGGTATAAGAGTATTTTAGAGTCTATTTAGCATATTTTTAGGTTCATGAGTGATTTGGAAGAAAGTGATGTTTTTGGAGCATTTTGGAGATAAAAGGAGAAATTACCCGAGCTGACCATCGAGGAGACCAAAGGTCGATGATCAGAGTCACTAATCGATCGATGCACACCTTGTGCCGTCGATCGACAGTCATTGCGCGCAGTAACCCGATTTGGTTCAAGCCGACTTTAAGTCGAATAATTTACCAAATTACGAGATTATCCCTGGCGAGTTTTTACCTAGTATTTATTGCTTTGCCAATTGTTTGTGAGTGTGCTCTCTTATTTTCTAGTTTTCATACCTAAAGATTTACTAAGGGTTGGAGAGAAGATTCAAGACTTCTACAAAGCTTGTTATTGGAACTCCATTATTACTTATCTATCTATGCAGTTTTCTTTATACTTTGTTGTTATGAACTGTGTAGCTATGTCTCAGTAGTTCTATTGTTCGATTTAGGGCTAAAATAGGTTATGAGGGATTAGCCCCAAATATAGAATTTCTAAGTTGTGATTTTCATCAATAGTATGTTCTTAATGCTTGTGTTCTAGAGTAGCTAACTAGAACCTTGATCTTAGAATCATTATATAGGCACAATGCGACTACTTGAACTTTTATCTGAATAGATCCTCATTGAATTAGGATTGCTAGAAAAAAGCCATAGATGATTTAGGAAGCCTAGTGAGTACCTTATCAACCCGTGAGCAAAGCTTACTAGAAGCGCGTCGATCGATATTCCTATAGAATAATCGATCAACGGTACGAGTATCGATCATTATTTCTATAGAATCATCGATCTATACTTTCTATTGATCAACAAAAGATAGTTGAGATCATTAGATCTAAACAATAGACGAATCTAAACATGTGATAGCTGATAAATTTGTTCTTATAGTTGAGCTCTAATATATCATCCAAACAACTGATAGCATATATATTTCTATAATCCTGATTACCTGGATAGAAACCCTAAGTCTAGCTACTTTTCTCATATTGTTACAAAACCTCAAACAAACTAACTGGACAACTACCTTGTTCAGACCTACAATTTACTTTTAAACATAATCAACCTATCTTTATTATTCTGATAAGATCTTTCGGCGCCCTAACTCTCTGTGGATTTGTTCCCTAAGCACTACAACTGATCCTCTTATTTGAGAGAGTAAAGTCACTCCTTAGGGTAATTTGAATGATATCAAATTTGGCGCCGTTGCCGGGGAGCTTTGATCACCATCAGTCTTATTAAGTCTAGGTAACTTCTTTAAACCATTTTCTTACACAAAATTTTCTTGTCTTTTTAGGGATGCATGCCCAGCAGTACTAGAAGTAACAAGGAAAAATCACTGCTATTCTTAGAATATCCTGCAAGCTTGGAACGTTCAATTCACAAAGAAAAACGCTATACATCGATCGACAACAGCACTAGTTTGGTGACCGACATTCACATACCACCGTCGACCGAAACTACTCTTCCATCGACCAACATTCTCTACAAGAAATAGATCGATATTTCTATCTGGACATCTATCGATACTCAGCCGCAAGACATGTTTGCGACACTGATTCTCAAACAAGATGAGGATGGAAACCTACATGACCTAGAAGGTCATCTGCAGCTGCAGACAAGGCTGCTCGACCCAAAGCGTTGACTGACTACAACCGTCCAGATCAGTTCTATGCCAACAGATCGGCTATACGCTCTTCAGCTGTTGGGGGAGGCAATTACGAGTTAAAGCCCCAGTACTACACACTCGTGGGACATACACCTTACTGTGGGTTATCTCACGAGCATCCTATGGACCATCTGGAGAGGTTCAACGGATTCTCTGAGGACTCTTACTCTGCAAACTCTTCAAGTACTCACTTGCCGGAGAAGCTTCGCATTGGCTTAAGCAGTTGCCACTAGGATCGCTTACATCCTGGGCCAAAATCAAGAACACATTCTTGCGTAATTTATTTGAGGATACCCACGCTGAAAATTTGAGGAGCAAGATTGCTACATTCACACAGGAGCCTACATAATCATTTAGAAGCTCCTGGATCTGATTCAAGACTTACCAGAAAGATTGTCCACACCACATACTGTAGCTGCTCAGAATTTTCTTAGGTTGAAAAATTAAAATTAGTATTCAAACAATTTTTTGTATATAAATTTTATCTCACGCATGAGTACGGATAATCACCTAGTTTTAATTATTTGTAAAGCTCTATTTGGATGATTCGTTGACTTGAACACTTATATAGATCATAACAAATCATTTGATTTTTAATTTCTTAAATATTTATAATCAGCATATTCAATATTAAATATTAAATATTAATGAACATATTTATTTTCTAATTAATTATTGTTGGCATAAAACTTAAAATTAAATTAGTCAGCATTTAAAAGTAGACAGAAATCATTAATGTATGTGTGTTCGTTAACAGTGACTATTTTGTTTTGTTTTTTATCTTGCGAAATCAACTATTATTTACAAAAACAGATCTTTAAAAATTTTGACTGAAAATAGTTAATCCTCTCCCCTCCCCCTCCCCACCCAAATTTTCCTTGGGAATGGAGACAAATGCTCTAATGCTCCTGCCCGGAAAATTTTATTCCCAAATGCTCTTGTCTGAAATTCTGATCCAAATAAATCGAATAAATCTTTATTTAAATATGAAAATTTATTAAAAGACCAGAACACCGGAAGAAACTCGAATAATTACAAGGAAACCATGGGTATTTCGCGGACCAGCCGACCCAAATCCTAAAATTCAGATCTCCAGTGTCCATAATTTCAAAAACATTACTGAAACTTTGTGTAATTATATAACTTGGTGTAAGTGTAACTGTAATCTAAGTTGAACGAATTCACACTTATAGTAACTATACAACTTAGTAAACCTTCAACTAATTTTCATTGTATCATATACATTTGCAATATGTTATTGATATATTTAGTGATTACATATCGATTCAACTTTGATTACAGTTAATCCAAGAAATATAAAAATAGTTATTCATTTGCATTATGTTACTGATAAATAAAAACTATAGATTAAGTTAAACAACTTATAAACACATGAAATGTATTTTACATAAAGTACTTATGAAAAACTTATAAACACACGAACATACTTCATCTCTAATCTTCAATTGGCCAGTGCGCAACGGTCAAATGAATATCATTGCAGAAGTCCCAAACTGCACACTGCCAGAAACAACGATTGCATGGTATAATTTCAGAGCACCAGATGGAGACATAAAGATATGTGGTTTTTCGTAACCCCAATGACATGAGGATACCTCAGTAGCGAGCATGTGATTCATCTGATCAGCAAACTCACGTGTAAAAGTAGGAAAGTTGTGAACCAGTCCTCTATCATCAACTAAATGCTAAGTTAAGCATATCATCAACATACTTGGCCAACAAAAATCCCCTCTCACCAGCAAGACAATTTTTTTCCCTTCCTTAATCAAGTAAATGGAGGACAAAGAACTCATACATACCTCGCATGTAGATGGCCTGTGGATTACCGGCTTGGTAGCACTTAAGCATGTATGTTCGGACAGCAATAACCTCATCAACTCAGTCATTGAAGTGAATAAGATCTGCAGATTTGTAGAAGTATTCTTCTCTGCCAATTTGATTGAAGGCGAGCAATGCAACTCCTGCACTACCGAAGTCCCGGATATGGTTAGTTGCTACCTTAGGGAGAATCTTGTGAAGCATAGAAGGAGGGAGAGAATCCAAGTTAGAGTTTGATATGGTGAGAAGAGATTAGGGTAAATGGAAAGATTAGGGTAAGATTAACTTTTTGTTTATTTGGACAAAATGATAAACCCTTTTATAATAGCGATGATCCTTAACAGTGGAGAAGATATAAGATTCTATTTATCACTGCAACTGGTGATTTGATGGAGGTCTCGAGAAGGCACGACTTCTGACTTAGAAAACGCATACGTTGGATTTAAAACTTTGTAAAACTTTAAATGATAAAAATAAATAACTTTTAAAAACTAAGTGAAATCGCTTAGTTAGATTGTCTAAATATATGAAACTAAGAAAACGTTTAACAATTGAGATAAGTTTAACAATTTTGATAGTTTAAATATATAAAACTATGTAAACCTTTAAGAAATAAATATATGAAACTAAGAAAACGTTTAACAATTTAGATAAGTGTAACAATTTTGATAGTCTAAATATATGAAACTATGTAAACCTTTAAGAAATAAATATATTATTCATTAAGAAAAATAGAGGATAATAAATGAAGAGTAATTTAATTTGTGTAATAATTATCATTACCCCAACTTCCAAAGTTGTAACTCTTCCATTTAAGAGTGATTTGATAGGAAAACAATGGCTTCCTCTCCATAATTTTCAGATTTATTAGCCCAACTACAAGTTAAACGATTTGAAAGACACGACTTTTCACACTAACAATCGCCTATTATCATCATTACACTTCATTTAAATCCCACAACTAAACCAAATCATTATTACATTTGCATTCAACTTATGAAACCCTCAATTTAATCTCCACTCCACCGGAAAACATTTCACCGCAAAGAAAGAATTCATCATCTTTCAAATATGGAACACTACAATACTCTTGGTGAAATTGTCTATAACGAGAAGGTCAAGCATTGGCGTTTCAGAGTGAAAATCATGAGGATCTATCCTTTCTATTATTATGTTACCGGCAAAGAACCACACCATGTATATGTCCTAGCAGATGAACATGTAAGTACGAAATCATCATCTCTCAAGTTTCTAATAACAACAATGGAAAATATAAACTCGCTCGTTGAACTTAATTTAAGCAGGGAACCAAGATGGAGATGACCATCTATAATATATATGGAGATAGGTTTAGAGGACTAGAGAAGCAAGATGGAAAATGGGTGAAAATATTTATTGTAGAACTTGGCCGTGCCCGTTCAGGTTTCAAGGTAGCAAAATCCAAATTCACACTAACTGTTACTGGCGATACCCAAATCCACATCATCGCTCGTCTGAACAATCAGGTTTACTTTGAGTTCAAAGGAATTCATGAAATCCCTCACATGAGCTATACAAGGAGAGAAATTTTCCAATAGGTAAGAATTCTAACAAATAAATATATTTCATATGTAAGTAACGGAATCAAATATACTTATTTGGTAGATACAATGGGAGTGGTCTTTAAGACGGAAGCCCATTTTGATGATCCTGAAGGACCAAAGATGGTGTTTTACATAAGAGACAACATGTAAGTATTAAGTAACATATGATCAAAACAAAATGTTTGCATTAGTGTAATTGACTCACCTTGTTTTATTTGTCATAGTGAAATTCAGATAAAATGTGTAGCAACTGGGAAACATGCTTATGCCTTTTGGGAAGGATTTGAAAACAGGGGAGGTCGTCGACAGGTGATTGTGGTCCTTAAGATGTGGAGGGTCCGCAACTATTTCTGTAAGTGAAGTTTATACTTATGTGGTCAGGTTTAAATGTGTTAGTTAACTAAAACCTTATCTAAACTCGTTTATAGAGCTTATTCTGGCCCTATAGAAGAATGACTTCAGACCGAGGGGAACTTATCTGACTTCAGGTTCAATCCGCGCTTGCCGGAGGTAGAGAAGTTCAGACAATCGGTCACTAACAGTGACCCTTATGTTCGGAAGTACGGAGCTATAGGGCCTTTGTAAGGTTTTATCTAATGTATTAGTGTTTCTTAAACTTGGTTTCTGATGTTGAACTGCGTTAATGTGTATTAAAAATGGTTTTCTTAACTTTTGTAATTGTCCAAGTGTGTGAACATAAGGATAACTTCAAGTTAACATGAAGTCCGTGTTCGTATAACCAGGTCAAATTTGTGTTAGGTTCAATTTCTTATTGTCAAACATCGTAAACATTTGAGGAACTTTTATGTTTACCAAACTTCTTAGTAGTTCAACTTAACTTCAAAATTGGTGTTCGTATAACCACGCCAAATTTTGTGTTAGGTTCAATTTCTCAATTGTCCAACATCGTCAACTTTTGAGAAACTTTTTAAATTGACCATACTTTGTAGTAGTTTAAGTTTGCATAATTTAGGAGAAACTTAGGTAAAACTTAGACAAACATAATGTTTAACTTGCATAAATTACAAAAAACTTAGACAAAACAGAATGTTTAACAAAGTCACTAGCTTTAGGAATCACTTCTACATCATAATTCGACCGAGAACTACAACGAAAATGATGATACTAACAACACAACATCCTGATATCATTATCTTATGCATTATTTTGGGACCTTCACTGCTTATTGTTGCTTTAAGAAACGGACCTTGCAGATGCTTACTTCTGATTCGATGTGGGTAAATTGGGTTAATTTTCACTTGATAAGGAAGAGTTCCTTCTGGATGGTTAAAGATAATACTCAATCGGGTTCTTGGATGTGGAATAAGATTTTGAAGTGCAGAGATTTAGCCAAGCTCATGTATAGGGTTGAGGTTAATAATGGAAGAAGAACATCTTTCTGGTTTGAGAAATGGTCCTCTATGGGTTGCTTAAAGGAGGTATTAAGAGTTGGTAGTCAGATTGATATGGGTATATCACTTAATGCGACTGTGGAGGAGAGTTGGAAACATAGAAGAAGAGATCACCGTGTTCAAATTCTTAATAGAGTGGAGGATGAAATTGAGAAGAGCAGAAGAAGTCGTAATGATAATGAGGACATTTCTTTGTGGCTAAATGCAAAAGGTCAGAGTAAGAAGATGTTCTCTTCTAAAGAAACATGGGAGTTTATAAGAGTAAAGCATCATCTGTGTCCCTGGTTTAACGTGGTGTGGTTTCAGTATGGTACACCGAAGTACTCGTTCATTACTTGGTTAGTAATGAAAGGTAGGCTTGCTAAAGGGGATCGGATGAGAAGTTGGTCGAATAATATAAATGGTGCTTGTGTGCTCTGCAAGGAACCATTGGAAACGTTGAAGCATTTGTTCTTTGAATGTGAGTACTCATCTCACATATGGAACTCTTTGATGAAAGGTATCTTAAGGAGTCAATTCTCAGTTACTTTGGAGGATTTGCTGAGAGTTATGAGTGATCATACTAGATGCAGAGTAAGCTTGTTCATCATTAAATACATGTTTCAAGCGACTATTTACATGATTTGGAGGGAGAGGAATAGAAGGAGGCATGGCGAGTTGGAAGTCCCGGCTGATTCCTTAATCAAGTTACTTGATAAAAACATGAGGAACAAGCTCACTTTAGTGCAAAGAAAAGGGGACAGTAAGATTGGTGCAGGGATGCAACTCTGGTTCCTTACAAGATAAAAATATGGATGTTTGAAGTTTTGGATTGTTGTTAGTTTTGACCCCAGTAGGAGTGAGAGCTGGCTGCTTAGTAGGAGTGAGGGCTAAGTAGAGTTGGGTTGAGGTTGATTCCAGTAGGAGTGAGGGCTGGGTACTCAGTAGGAGTGAGAGCTGAGTATTTTTGGGTTGGTTAAAGGCGATAGAAGGCGACTGAAGATGTAGCAGAGTTCTCCTCAAAAAATTTTATCATTCTTGTTTTTTCTCTTTTGGTTAAAAACAGTTAGACAAGGATACACATAGTTGTAACACAAGGTCTTTTTTCTTTTGAATTAAATTTAACATTCAATTCAAAAAAAAAGAAGAAATTCTTCTTCTAGCATTCGCACTTGGTACTCCATTTGTTCAATCTCATCGGTGAAAGCTTCGTCGACCAATTTGAAGACGTGATCATTGTTCTCGAGCTACAACATTCCAACATTTTGTTCAAAATATTTAAGAGAACAACCCTTCAATAACTATAGCTAAACGGACGTTACCCTCTTTTTTACCGCATCGAGACACCGATAATACCGGCGATGTGGATTTGGACCGGATTTGGAGATGAGCTCGTTGATGCTCTCCCCGCACCAACACCTCTTAGGTTTCCCCAGAATTCTTACTCGTCATCTCAGACCACCGGTCGTGGAAGATGAAGCGGACGTAGTTGGATTCGACATTGGGGGATTTCAGTTGAGAGAGAAAGAGAAAGATGGATAGATAAAGGGATGAGAGAGAAAGTAAAATCTAGAGAATGTGGGAAACCCCTAATTGGATTGGGAAAAGGGGGGGAAAAGAGTGAGATTAGAAATTCGAAAAGCTCGTGGGCGGAAAATTTTTAGCCTAGTATTTTCGTGATTGAAGTTTCACCAAATTTGCAATTTTACAGAAAACATCAAAGTTGTACTTTATAATTTTTTTCCATTTATCTTGGTTTTACTCTATTACAATGACTGATTTTATGGTTATACCAGTTATATTTTGTATACTAGATTCATTTTTCATTTGTCAACGTATACATAAACTCGATTTCATTACATAGTAAGATTTGAAATCAGACTGTGAATATTAACGAAAAACATATATGAAGATAGTGTAATGACATCATGATTACTCATAACCAACGAGATTTTTTTTTGTTCTGATAAAATCATAATCAGCACAACCCAAAATAACTCATAAAATACCATCTTATTAATACCTTGGTAACAAGTTTTTAAAATTTACAATCCTATTACTCAGTCTACCTATCGTACTTATACCAGTAAAGGATAAAGTTTCACTTAGTTGCACAACACAAAATACAAATCTCACCTTTCAATGTCTCCTCTTCTGTTTTTTGTGGGGATGTTCATTGTGTTCCTTATGTTTCAAACCAGTACCCACATTATCTTCTTCTCCATATCCACTCTCGCGCTCACCATAGTTCCTACTACATGAGCTTTCATTCTCAACTCTCGATAGTTGCTCGGTTATTTGAACTATTCCAATTCTTGGGTGTCCTCTACATGCAAATACTTCTTCTTTCTTCTTTATCCACCGATGTTAGATAAACAAATACATCTTCATCATCCAAAATATATGATTGTCTCCTAGGTTCCACTACCAGTGGAATGTAACCAAATTTCAGCCTCTTCATAAACGGATCTATTCCCATCTTCCTGCATATTCTCTCCTTCAACAACAAATAAGTGATCTCTTCCAATGATGATGTCCTAAAGCATATACCATACAAACAACGACCATCGGTTGAAATCCATTCATAATTATCTCCAGACTTAGAATAATGTCCATCATAATCAAAGTGTATGTTTGTACAAGAAAGACTCATATGCAATTAAAAAAAAAAATTAACCACTAAGTTATACATGATTTATTCCTGGTTATACAGTTATAGCATGTTAGTTATACGAAGTTATACCTTGTTACACAGTTTTGTCAGTAACCAATTTTTTCCAACTTTTCCCAACTTTCCAAACTTTTCCCAACTTTTCTAGTTCTAGCTATTCATCCTCTTCAATTCGTTTCAATATGTATCAGCTTGGATTCCCGACGTTCTATCTTTTTTTTTTTCTTATGGTTACAGTTGTTAATTATCTATTCCATAATACACAGACCATTCACACATTCTGATCCTCAATTACTCTAGTCCAATTAGAATTGTAATTTGGAATCTCTGTAAATCGATCGTGTATGGTGGATTCTGAACATTGGGTTACGACGAGTTAGGAATGATTTAAGATACATATCCTGTCAATGGAATCAATAGCTCAATGATTCAACATCCAAGCGGACGAATTTAACCGACCTAAGCGATGATAACGACGAAAAAGAAGAAAGAAACGAATCCCGCGGATGAGAGAGAAAAACAGATCACTCCCGATTTGGAAATAAAAATAATTAAGAGGATTCTCGATTTTGACCAGTTTTGACCGATTTTGATTTCTCTTAATTCGGTCAAGTAGGAAGGGGCACTTTCGACATTAACCACCTATATGGAGAGTCTGAGAATATAGAAGAGTATGTGAGAATAAGTAAGAGTATGTTAGAATGAATTTTGTTTCTTTAAGAGCATTCCAACATTTCATCCTTGGGAATGACCAAAGTTAATTTTTTGAACCATGAATAGTATATAGTTCAACTTGTTTAACAAAATAGATTGTAATAAATAGGTTTATATCCGTATGGTCAAATGTGCAGCTAACAATTTCGCAGAAAAATCAATTGTGTAGCGATAAAATTTATCCGTAAAGAAAACCATTAAACCACCATGATGTTGTT